CTGTGAAAGTCCCTCCCTGGCCTCAATTTTATGGATCCATATTATATCATTTATTCTTCGTTAAAAACATTTAGAATAACAATGCACATCTAAAATCCCACGATGGAATTGGTGACCGGGAGTCGGGACCCAAAAAGGTCCCCCAGATTCAGAAATACACAGGGCCCCCTGCCCCATCGTTACGCCACTGACATAAAGTTTACCAATTGTATACCAAGGATGCTCGAGTCAGACATCATTTGTCTGACTGTCAAAACTAATATTATTATTCTCTATTTAGGCCTACAGTGTTTCGGAAAAAATATTTATAACAAGCATAAAATACAAAAATCACAAACAACAGAGTCTATAAAGACTTTGTAAACGAGCTATAATATCAATATCGTGTAAATTAAGGCTTCGGAAGAAAAAAAACAATTGATATGTTGTAGAACTGATTTTTCTAAGACAGAAAAAAGTTGTTTTGACGAAGAACTAAGGAACGGTGAATGAGATACAGATTTTTTAATATTTAAAAACTGGGGGGGGGGGGCGTAACCGCCCTTTTTTACACCTTTTCCCCCAGTTTTTAAATATTAAAAAAAGATGTATCTCATCCACTGTTCCCTAGTTTTTCGTCATGCAACTTTTTTTTCCTGTCTTAGCCAAATCAGTTCTACAATATAGGCCTATCAACAATATTTTTCCTCCGGAGTCTGATAAGTATAAAACTCTATCGAAAACTAGTTAAAGAGTTTGAAACAAATTTAGACATTGCATTGGCCCTGCAAGATACAAGATGATTTATTAGTATATATACATTTTACACCACAATCACAATTATTATGCAAAACACTCTAAACATTGGTACACAACGATCTGTATTGAAGAGCAATATCATCATTAATATCAAGCAAAGAAATAAAATGACCAAAGTAAGTTAACGCTTGACTCTTCAATTGAGAATAGTGACTGGATGGCCATAATTTTCTTGAGGACAAAAGCACATAAGCTACACATCGCTTTCACGATGCATAAAATCGCGATTAACTACGTTTGATCGGAAAATATAAAGTAGTAACTACCAACAATGCTTATGTTTTCCTGTATTCCAGTGTACTGTACGTATAAAATCGAGAAAGAACTTGTAAAGGAGAATTTTTCAGAAGATCCAAAAATGATTATCACCTGACGGCGGCCAATAAAAGAAACAACGTATTTTTTTTTTAAGCGGTAAAGCCTACTTTAGTCCAGACTCAAAAAGTCAATCACTTTCAAATTCATGTTTTCTGCATGAGTACTCGTTGCAACAGGAACACTTGTGAATAACAGGAAATCATTATCAAGTATTTCTACTTTATTACTATATAATTTTTCAGCAGTAATAGTAGATTCAATTCAATTTTTATTGCTTCATCAGTCATCGAGAACTATTATCCGCCAAACACTGACAGAAAATACAATGCAATATATGCTGAACTAAAATCGGACCTACATAAAAAAAGAGCGGTTCTAATGTGAGAAGAGAGAATGTGGCGGGATCGAGATTGTATGAAAGGCCAAAAGCAAAGGGAAAAAAAGTTGAAGAGCAGTAAAGGAAACAAAAGATATCCTAGATTAAAATTATTATTCTGAAAAGTATGGGGGAGGGATCGAGCACGGTTGTTGCAATAGCAGTAGGAGTCGTTAGAATGAAAGCAAATGTCAAGTTGATATGTTCTCTACATTTAGTTTTAGTGTCAATAATTGATCCTGGGCTTAATCTCGAGAAGCCCACTTCGAAAAGAGGCACCCTCTTTTTGCAAAAGTAGTCTCGAGAAATGTCCATCTACGAAATGATGGAAATGGGATTCTAACTTAGATAGCATGTGCTTCTTTTCTAAAGAAGGGAGCTCCTGTATAAATAACATAAGTTTAAATGTCTTGGAGAGCCGCCTTCTGTCTTGTAACCCTCCCATCATTTTAGAGACTTAAAAGCCATGAACAATAATGTTAGCCTGCAAAATTATTCTCATAAATGACCCCCAACCCTTAAAGAAGAAAAAAAGTAGGCCTACACTTTTTTGCTAGCTAAAAAGCACTCTAAAATGTTAAGGGTGGTGGTTAGGGGTGGTGCCAGGATTTTCCCGACGGGAAGGTCCCCGAAGGGAGGGGGCCGATGCCCCGACGGGGGGTCAGATTTCCCCAACGAAAGCAAAGTGGGCGTGTTCGAGCTTCGATGAAAAGGTTTCGACAGTGGTCCAGGGGAAATGCCTCTCCCCCGAAAATTTTGACAATTTAGGGGTTTCAAACGCTTATTTAACCGATTTTGGAGTCCACTAATATGTAGAAATTACATATAATTTTTTTCTCCCCGACGAATTGTTTTTCTCCCCGGCGGGCGGGCCCCCTGGTGGTGGGGGTGTCCGGATGTCGACGACCATCACCACTTCATGGATCCGCCCAAGAGTATCATTTAAATAACCATTCTGTGAAGCCCAGTTGGCAAAATGATGCAAGTATTGCCATATAGTATTGTCGGAGGGGCACACCATATCCGGTGATAGTAGTTTTTGTACTGCTTTTGCACACTCCTCAGCCCTCCTCTTTTTTTATTGATTTTGTTGTTGTTGTACTGGCTGAAAGGAATAAAATAAAATAAATAAAATATAAAGAACAACATGAACAAATAATAATTTTGTTTATACAGTATTATAATGTAAAGCAATATAGGCCTACTGGTAAAGAATATGTTGAAAAATGGATTATACGCCGCTTGCTAAAATGTTGTGATGGATGTAGACATTCCATATTCGTCAAGTACTTAGTGATTAACATAGTCACTTAATATACTTTATTCCATTATATTTAGTGAATACACGCGTTTGTATCAGCCGCACTCACTGAAGTGGTACGTTCCACATAACTACTAAATACTGAATACTCTGCTGCTCCTATCACTGTATTTTACTAATGCAATTTGAATGACTTTTCACATGTGTTGCTTGTGTAGTGTCCTCGTCTAATACTTTGTAGATTAGTGTTATTGTAAAATTATTTTTTACGATATTTTAATGGACATAAATAGGAACTCAGTATTATGCCAATAATGGCAAGACATTTAAAAGAATATATATTTCTTCCAGAGCTGTGCACGCGTCCGGATGGTAAATCAGCACAACCATCTGCCCTTACTGATTGATTGATCTTGAGTAATTGTATAGGCCTATGTGAATAATATGTATGAATGCATATTTATGTGTGTTCAATAATAATATATCTTTTATATAGTGTTTTGTTTCTCCAACTTTTCTTCTCCATTCTAACATTCTTCATATCCCGTCAATGACGGTTGTGTCTTCTGAGGAAGACGACTGCTACAACAGTAACATTATTTCGAATGCTTGCGATCTACCCAAAATTAAGTTGACATACTGCATGTTAAGAATGAAAATGAAACAAAACACTTAGTCAATTAGCATTTGAACTTTTTTTTAATTATTATTCTTGTTAATCTTGTGATGATGTCATCATCGTGATGACATCACAAAAATTAAATCCGATGCACATAACAATGTCCCGGATGAAGTCCAACTAAAACCATGTACAAAAACTGATTCTATTTTACACTATAATTCTACATATCATTTCGTTTTGACACAGGAAAACAACATGGAAAACTGTACTAAAGCATCAACTATCACAACAAAACATATCAGAGACTCAAAAACAAATTTCATAAAATGCCATAACAGTTACATTTTATTAAATAACCCAAAATATTTAAATAAACATTTTTTAATGTCTTTATATTTTTAGGAATCATTGGGAAATTTATCTATAAATTTGGTCAGCCAAATATTTGAATATTTTTTTTTGAAAGTTACCAAAGGAAGAAACTGATCAAATTCGGCACCGAAATGTTTTTTTTTCTATCTATATTAAATGGCCAAAAAGTTGCAAAAATGTCTCCAACCTACATACTTTAAAATCAATCTGAATGAAGCTAATCTATTCTTGGAAGACATTTTATATGCATAGATTAATTTTTTTCCTTCAGTATGACAATTTGGATCAAATGATCCATATACAATATAATTATATGTCATGATTGAGTAAGAACCAACAAGCAACTTTATCAAAAGATAAATTTAATACTTATTTTTAAAGAGATAAAAAGAACATCAAGCCTAACTATTGTAATTATAAATTCTGTTCAAACTTTAAAATTTATTATGACAAAATATAATTAAATAAATACATATCTGCAAAATTCATTTTACAGATTAATTAACAATGACTGAGTAACTAATTTGACTAACCAAGCACAAAGTAGGAAAAGCAGAAAACAAATGTTGGCTACTTGGCTATTTTAAAGAGTGACTGCAAAGGTTACATATAAACCAAAAATGATGTCAAAATGTGTGTGCGCTTTTACATGCGTATATCATGTGCGTATGTGATTTAAGCGCATCTGCATATAGTTTTAAAAAATTTTATGTCTTCTTCACATCCACCATCATGTACTTAGAAATTAAAGGATGGAATGATGCTTTATAAACTTAATGAGGCATTGAAAATTGAGTTGTTAGTCCCAAGCCAAAATAAACACTAGATTTTAATCCAAGATGCTGGGACTGGTGAGAAAGCACAGTGTTATGCAACCCATGTGCAATTATATACTTCAAAAATAGAGCTAGCTTTTCTACTTCATGGTAAAGCCCAGTAAATTACTGCTATTTAATTGATATTAATTATGCACCTATGGTTAAACAAATTCATCAAATTGTTAGTAATAATTAGTTAATAGCAGGATATATGTTTAAAATCTGATCTACAGTATCTGTTATAATATACATGTGACAATTTAGTTTATTCATTTTTTTTTACTCCTTCATCAGTTTCTATTATTTAAAAGCAAAAGTTGGTAACTAAAACAAGTGTATAATTATTATTCCACTATGTAATTGTTTATCAGGAAATGTAACAATCTTTACTGTAATAAATAATATTAATAATAAAAATAAAGAAATACATGTTTAAGTGAAGTATATGGATTTATAATGCCATATGTTTTAATTACGGGTGGTAAAAAATTTAACTAGATATTTTCCTAAGCTTCACCTCAATTTATTAATTATTTTTTTTATTATTAGATAAATTATTTCCTACTTTCTTCCACAACACTTCCAATGCCAAACAGTGTAGTGTTAAACACATCCTCTCTTGTGCATATTTAACAATATACTATTTACGTAACAGAAGGTTATAAATACTTGTCTCTACAACAAGCACAAATTAAAGTTTACTAATACCTTCAAAACATATAAAATAAAATTCAGTTGACATAAAACATTTTCTTTCCTTAAAACGATTAAAACCCACTTCGAGCACTGTAACATCATATCATGTTCCCTTTTTCTTACAAATATCACAATTTATACATAAATATTACATGTTGCTGGTGGGAGCATATCAAGAAGGTTGTTTTTCCTTTTAAACAGCACCCTCTAGTTTCCATAAAACTTCTTGTTGAGGAGGAAAATGAGCAAGTTAACATTAACCTTTGCCCTACTAAACATCTTCATGACTGCAACACCATCATACTGTAACTGCAACAAATCCTGTCAATGAAAAAAAAAAATTATTTACACAATTAATTCAATGATTAAATATGTACTTATATAATTATAGATTCAACATCTTTATTTTTTAATGTTTGTTGGGAAATTGTTTCTTACACTTGTGGTTTTCGTTTATCTTGGGTTTTGTTAATATAACGGATTATTGTTACATGTTTAATGGGTTTTATTGTTACTATTATTATTATTGTTATTATTATTAATGTAATGCATTATCCTAATATTATTACTGTTACTATTATTATTATTATTATTATTTGTCAATAGTGGTTACAGTGTTATTGTTCATTATTGGAGTGCATTCAGCTAATTTACATTCAGTTGTTCAGTGAAATACTGTGCGTCTGCACTATAAAGGGTTTTCGCTGTGTTGTTTGATCGTCACACCTTAGTAATGCTATGCTAGGCCTAAGACGTTGCCTCTGCTAGAGGGGAATATGTACCCAGCGTTAGCTTATGATGGAAATGCCACATAAGATTGCTACATGTAAGTTACTCCTATTGTATCTATATAGGCCTATGCTTCTTTGGAAACGTAATTTGATGTTTTTGGTTTTATTCGTGGGTTGGTTGGAAGTGGGGATTGGAATTTGACTAGAAAACTGGTTGATACAATTGGTTCTACGGCGACTCGTTCTCTCCGATGATTACGCAGCTTAGAAACTATAGGAGCGGGAGTTATTGCCTACTTTGGTACTCATGGTTAGCTGCAAGGGATGTGACATTCATGCTGATAAATATGACTATGGAAAAGATGATTGTATTGTACTTATGGTTTCCAATGTGATGTAATGTTTAAATTTAAGGTTGTGTTATAGAGTTGACACTAAATGCGTTTGTGCTCAAAGATTTATGATAGTAGTATTGCATGTAATGTTGTATGGAATTGGAAGTTGTAATGCACATATGATTATAAATGAGATTGTGCTTGTGTTTTCATGTGGCGAATATGTTGGGCCCATTGTTAAACGTATGTGATTAAATGAATTATTAAAGATTTTGACACCGTTTGGGATGTGATATTTCGTAATGTCTCATAGGACACATTAACATGACAATGTTAATCCAAAAAATGCTAGAATTATTACCTTTCTCTCATAAATCCAAATAGGATAATTAATAGAATATCAAAAAATGACACTAAATATGTAGCAACAAAAATGGACACAGGCAATGCAATACCATCAGTACAAAACTTATTAACAGCGCTGCTTAATAATGCTAATTCGTCTTTATCAGACCTGTTTCTACAAACCGAAACACTTCATAAAAGCACTTTTTAAATCAAAAAACATTTTCAAAAACAACATCTGTACTTTTGTATCAAATAGTTAAAATGGCAAACTCACAGAAAATACAATTTGCACCGTATCCATCTTAACACCTAGGAAATGAGCGGTCACTTCAAACGTACCAGCTGTCTGTACTGGAGTTATTTCAAACATTACATTCTTAAATCTGAAAAATAAAATAAATTATTGAATTACTAAAAATATACAAAGCAAACCCAAGAAAAATAAGTAAATAAGTACTTAACTTAAGTAATGTTTTCATTTTTAAATCAAATTTTTAAAAGAAATGGTTTATTTAAATTTATCTATATTTATACTTGAATGTATTGTCTTATTGTATTGTATGTGCTGCCAGGAGAGCCCCATGACAGTAACTCTGCGTAGCATTTGGGCAATCCAGCCAGTCAGAAATACTTTTTTTATATTGTTGTTACTGGTAAAATAAATGATATAATATGAAAGGCCAAAGATATATTTCCAGTGGGTCCTACAGGTTGTGAATTGTCTGGTACAGCGGGAGACAATCCACTACTCTTTTCCGAAGAGTGTACTGTGTTACTTAATGTGCACATGGGACCAGCTACTTATACGTCTCATCTGGAACATGGTGCGTTATTGAAACTTGTATCTCAGTCCTTCAGCTGACATACAGTGAGGACTGTGGATGGAATTGAACCAGGGACCAAAGCTATGTAATGACCTTCACAATTCAGTGCACACACTGTGGCTACCACCAGCCAACTGAGCTAAGCGGCTCTCTCACCACAGAAAATTCTTAATATTAATTTTATTGGTTGGTATTGACTTACTGAGCTTCAGATAGACCTTCAATTTCCAAGATTATGCCTTTCTCATGAAGTCTGGCCCCTGTGTACTTGATTGTTTCCTTCTTCTTTTTTGATTCCTTAGATTTCCTACATAAAGAAAAACAAGAAAGTAAAAAACTGCATTCAGTAACACAATACATAAAAATATATAACAATAGAAATAATTCTTGAAGGTTTGCATAAATGGAGAGTATCAATAACAAAATCATAAAACTTTTCGTACAACATGTGTAAAAATATGTTTTTTTTAAAGGTAAAACCACAGGTTGGTTGTCTCGACTTTTCGTGAGATTGCTCTGACCGTCTTCAGGAGAATGATGACGGTCAGATCTGATGGTGGTCAGAGCAATCTCACTGAAATGTTGAGACAACCAACCAGTGGTTTTACTTCAAAAAAACCATAATTTTACACATGGTGTACTGAAAGCTTACGATTTCGCTAACAGTAGAAATAACAATGTCGGTCTTATCATAAAGCGCATCACACAATGCCTCTATGAAATTCACATTATTACCCCTCCCATTGAATCAAACACCTCCCTGAAGGCATATTCTATATTCTTAGAGCTAGCTAGTAGCATGGCATTTAAACCCGCTTACACTCCTGAGCGGATAATGTGCCTTGCACAAGGGACACAAGTGAAATGCACAGCAAAGGACTTGACACACACAGCCTAGCCTAGAGGGTGGACAGGAATTTCAACAAAGTAGTAACAAAGCCCCCTCTGAGCCTTAAACTCTCATTTGCGCCAGGCCTCACTTACCTAGTTTTTGTTTGTAGGTTCAACATGCAGGTTTCAATATATCTGTTATAAAAGTCTATTTGTTCTTGGTAGAAACCAGATTTTGATTCCAAACCATTCATGGTGGCACGCAGCTTCAACAGCTCCTGTTTTCGTCGATTGCGGTATCTTCTTTGGTTTCGGATATCCTGATTTTTATTAGAAGGTAGAATATAGTATAAATTATATTGTATTGTTACAGTACATGATAAGCAGCTGATTTTTAAATTTCTTTGTACTCTATTTAAGGAATACATTATAAAAAATAAATACTGTACAATCAAGTTTACAGGTCAGATATGACAATGTAACTAAAGTGTACGCCAAGGCACACACGATTATCTAACAGATATTTTGCACTGCTAGACTGCTAAATCTACAATTTCAAATAACCCTGAATAAATTTTAACTTGACCTACATGTGCTATTGCTGTCACCATAGCTTGGTAGTGGTCTTCTGACGAAACATGTTTGGTTCCTTCTAGTGTTGCCAGGTTCTTTTCGATCTTTGTCTTGATTGATCCTAATGGTAATCTGTAACACATTAAATAAGATTCATTCTTCAATGAGCTGAAAGTAACCAACCTTTGGCCTGAAAAATGCTTGAATTATAAACTTTAAAGGCTGATTTCTCAATTAATATTCTTAAACAGCTGTATGTTAGAACGCTTTTAACTTCATAAGGAAATGTTGGATTTAAATGATTCTTTCACCATTTTATAGCTCTCATTTTCATCTTTAACCCTGTATTAATAATTAAAAATGGATTTTTGCGACGAGTGACTGGTTTGGCTTGTCTTTGCCACATAGGTTGTACGTGCTGTTATTTAATTTAAAAGAAAAATATAACAAATTCCTTTGTTTCCCACAACTGTTTTAGACTTACTTGCTATCTTGCAGTACAGACATGGTTCGCTGTAATTTATCATCTTCCCTTGTTGCTTTTTCATCTTGTTTGAGTCGTTTGCTCACCAACGCTTGATGTTCATCCTCCTGAAAAAGAAAATTTTTGATGCAAATTTAAGAGTCATAGAACTAGTGTGCCCTCTATCTACACAGGGTACTTAATTCTACCGTGCCTAGGAGATTCGTTAGCTTAGCAAACTCGAGAAGGGTTAAATATCCAGAAGGGATATTATTATACAAGACTGATGTCTAGTCATATATAAGTGCGTATTTGAGTGTTTGCTAATGGCACTGCCATGCTGACACAGTAATGTGGCCGAAGGCAGAGGTGGCTCCTGAAATTCTGACAGCGAGTCCGAACTAAAGAGCTGCCTAGAGCGTCGGTCAAGGTCCCCTAGTGGGGTTATTCTCACCTGTTCATCTGTTGCAGGTGTCCTCAACACCTGTGGCACTGTTTCTGCTGGCTGTACTCGTATAACATCCACTAAAAGTCTTTTGGTTCTGCAATGGATTTAATGAAATAACGTCTTTAATTAAACTTTGATGTAACTGGTAGAGTGCTAGAACACAGATGTTATCTGGGATTAAGTGTTACATTGAATGAATGTGTGTTCTGCTTTCACACTATATAAGTTGTGCAAGTTGTGAATAATTGATAAGTTTGAAGAATATATTGAGCTAAAAATTGTTTTTCAAGCAACAAGAACTTAAAAAATATCATGGAAAATGTATAGTGAAAATGGGACATGAGGTAGTAAAATGGGGGAAACAGTGGGACATGGAAAGAGGAGATATAAATTTAGACATAGAAAGGAAAAGTGGAGTTGAAATTTTACTTTTAAAAAAGTGGAGAAAACTGGTAACAGAATCTACATGCCAATACAGAGGTGAAAAAAAAACAAAACAATACTTTAAAGTACTAGTTTCAATAATTTACCTGATAAAAAGTTGCACCATATCAGTATCATCTTCACTTGAGATTTCAAATTTGTTGGTTAGTGTTAATGATATTTCTGATTTGGCGAGGTTGGTGAGGAGGGCTTCTGCTTGCTGCTCATTGGTGTCTACTGGTGCATGCCCTGAGTAGTGTAATAAGAATATTTATAATTATCACTATATGAATATGGATGGTGAAAAAACAAAAGAATAAACATGGATTTATACAAAATGAAAAAGACATATTAATTTAAAAAAATTTATATTTTGATTTTATATAGAGTTCATTAACAGCACAATCAATGATTGGTTCCCCAACTTGGAGGTTGGGGTTTCAATCCCTTGCTGTGCATTTCGCTTGTGTCCTTGAGCAAGGCACTTTATCTGCTTTGCTTCTCTCCTCCCAGGAGCACAAATGGGTACCTGGTGGGGTTGGTTGCTCCTGCGCTGCATACAGCAGCAACGCTTAAGCATGAATGAGGACAGAAGCACGTCATATATGTGCAGAAAGGCATTACATAAATAACCAAATAAAAATTGTAAAAAAATATATGGAGAGCCTTTGTGTATGTTTTCTTATCGGAAATACATCAGTTGAAAATCTATGAAACTGTGACTCAGCTGTGGAGGAACTAAGCTGTATTGACAGCTTGGAGGCAGTTGATTGGTAATGAATCAGTGACATAGCACTCTATATAGCCTCTTTCTTTTTTATGTTTTTCCCCGTGATCAATGCATATAGAGTCAACCATGCACAAAGTGCACCCTTCTCCCTGGTCAGTAATTCCACAATCTAAACAATCTTATAAAGCTCTGCCTAGACTAACAATTTTTATTCGACAAGAACACATGACATGCCTAAATATGGTCATGATGTCATCACATAATGACCATATATAGGCACATCATGACTATATATGGGCATACAACAGTTTTTTTTTCAAAGAAAATTTGATAGTGTACACAGACCTTCAAATTACCCTACAAGATAAGGCAAAAAAAAAAAAAATGCTTGTGTTGGCCATGTTTTGAGAAAATCCAAAAACTGGGTAGGTCGGTAGGAAAAGTTTTCTTTTTTTTAAAAACAAATAATGTGTTTATGCCTAAAAGAGCAAAATGATCGCATGACACGGTCGCTTTGCCTCCATCCAGCAAAATAGGCCTATTCCAGCATTTTTAGCCCATTAAAAAAAAAAAATTTTTTTTAATAAATAAATAAATAAAATGCTGAACCTCAACTTTGTACATTTTGGTTCGGTCGGGCGTGGCCAACACAATATTTTTCATCTGTGATTTGCAACCTGCACTTGTAGTTACAAAATGTGCCAAAAAAAAACAGTTTTCCTGTAGCATCCGTCAAGTGCTGTTAGATTAGTGTTGAAAGGTAAATTTATTTAAAAAACTCATATTTGTCTTGACAAATGAGTTAAGACCATACAAACACAATATAATTTACAAGAATTAAACACCCAATAACAGTGACAACATAGTTACTAGTAAGAGATAGGACAATATTTGAAAATACACTATAATAAAAAAAAAAATTTAAGCAACTGTCTGAGCCCTAATGTATTGAATCAACAAACACAACCATCACCACTAAGGCCTCTAGTGTAAAAGTCAAAGCAACTATATTTAGGAGAATCATTCATGATGATCATAACTTAAAGTAGGCCTCAGATATTTAACAAATAGAGTACCTACTAGTCAATTTACATCATGTACCACAAATATCCTACAACCAAGTGAGGGTACTTTGTGAACAAGACAGAACAGGCTCAGATATTTTTGAGCTTATTGTTAAAATTGTTTTGGATCTACATTTTTTTTTTCAACTTAGCCAATGTACCAGTTAATTGCTCTCGAATAAATGATTAAAATTATTTCATATACTTTAACCTCCTACTGTAGTTTGCAAATATACATGATATTAAAAAATATCGTGCAGACTGATTGGCCTATGGGCTCAAAAAGTTAAGGCAATATGTTACAGTACTATACAGCTTTATGTAATTAGTATACAAACAACATAGTTGAAAGAATAAAAGTTAAAACAAATTGGTCATTCAAATATATAATTTTAATCAACCAGTTAATTATTCAATACAATATTTAATTAATCAATAAATTAGTCAATTAATTCTTTAAAGAATATTATACATATAGCCTCTATTTAATAATAAAATAAGACCCATGCCTTTTTCTTTCACCATGCATCAGTTTCAATTGCCTCTTTAATAAATTCAAGTGAAAAAATTGAAATTTAGCCAACAATCTCATATGACAATTTAATAATTTATTTTAAAAAATCAACTAAATTCAAAATCATTAGTAGATCAAACATCACTCAAATGCAATTCAAGAAAATTAAATGCCAAATAAATATGAACACCACAAACAGTTAATCCAATACAAAATGAAAGATATAGAACAAAAACTAAGGACTAAACACTTTAATTATTTTTTTTATGATAAACAACAGAACACATGCATCTTAAATAAATAAAAATATAACTGACTTAATCATTTGACATTAAAATCAAATCAAAACAATCGTATAACACATGCATCAGAAAAAGAAACACAACTGGCCAAATAATTCCATAGCATACCATTAATTGTGAATTCATTATAAAACAATATTAAGCATGCAACGTAACATAAGAGGCATGGAATAACATGATGGATCACTTACATAAACTAAGAACAACTGAAAGGAGAAAATAAATTGTTGAAATGTTAACTGAAGGGATATGAAACCTAGGCAAACACACACTGACTGTGTGAGGAGGTATATATAAATACTAAACAAAACAAAAACTAGAATTACTTCAATTACGATTTGTGGTAAAAGCATCGTCTCCCCACCATATAAATTTCTTTCTATGAGTATCTATTATGATATGGAAAGAGTATAATTTGATTATTTATTAGAAATTAGCATCTGTCATTACAGGTGTCAATATTAGTAGGCTTCTAGTTCTTACTGTCTATTTCCTCAGATTTCCATCGATTGAATAAACAAATTTGATTTCTACTACTGCCGCCAAAACCACAACTATGGACAGACGTGAGGCAAATAAAATAGCCTATCTCTTGAGCTTCCCTACTTTAAGGAATATAACAATAACATAACCAGACCTACACTAGTCTAACTCTCAGTATGTGAATCATTATGGGTTAAGATGAAAATGCATCCTTTTTATACAGGAAAGTGTCAAATGTAAAACAAAAAACATTATTTTGTTGACATATTTTTACTAGTTTATGTAAAGACAAAGATATTATCCTTTAAGTAATCAGTCTAAAAGTCAATACGGTAAGTGCATGAGAATAAATATCTAGTTAATTATCATTAATCAGTAACTAAATAATCTGTCATTAAAATAATTTACCCCTTCATCATTTAATATTTGACATCCACTAAACAACAGATAAATTAAGATAAAATTTAAAAAGAGAGTTACATAAATGAGAAGTAGTAAATTACCACAATGAAAAAAAAATATAGCAAAAAATCACCCAAAAATAGAAATAATCAGTTTTCCTTATGCTAAAATTTTGCTCTTCTCCAATAAATAAATAGTAATGTGCTATATTATCATCATTATATTAACTCACCAATGAGATCTTGAATGCTAGGTGGCTCTCCAAGATCACTGAGAAGTTCATGTAGTGGATCCGTTCTATCAGGTGCAACAATTTCCTCATGCTCCATCAATAACTATTTTTAAAATAGAAAAAACAGATTCCCATCCGGATTTAATCTCTAACACCTATAAACTACTGTTAAATTAATCATAAATTATCTGTAAGCAAAGTTGTTTAGCTTTATTGAAAATATTACATGGCTAAATAACGAGTAATGGCTACGTACATGTTGTGTTTTAACCCATGCTATTCACTGTATTGTCATAATGCTTAGTAAACTTTTAATTACGAAAAAATGGAACAACATTCAATGATTCTTTAGGTGGGATCCCCTGAAACGAGTTATAGTAATCAGTAATGTAGTGACCACTCACTGCATGTGTATCTAGGATCTCCTGCACGGACATGTAGACAACTGGTTTGGTCGGATTGACGAAGTCGGAATACTCATTTATGTTGAATCTATCATCAAGCTCAGGAACATCACAAACTTTTATGCAAAATGCTCTGTAATATTAAATAATTCAATAAATTTGTTATTAAAATTTAAATAAGATTATACTTAGAATATTTCAAATGGTAACTATTAGTGTATTCTAACCATAAATTTATTAAAGCTACAATTAATAATTTATAACTTATGATTATTCTTTAAAAAAGATATTGAGCTTACTTAAATCTCTCATGTGCAGCCACTACAAACTTGTTGAGGCCTGATAAGTGATCATTATCTCCACCGAACTACAGAAACAAAAACAAAATGACAATAAAACATCTACAAAAAGCAACACAAGTATCATGATAATATCTATCATAAACCAGTCGCATAATCACAACATAGACTGCATGAATCATGGAAAGTTGTGTATATATTATCACAAAACAATCTAGCTAGTAAGAAAAAAGGTAGGTAAAATTTTTATTGTGTAACAATTCCAGATTGATTTCATCTTTGGTTTTCATTATACTGAAGTATATTAAAAGTAATTTCCAATTACATGTCTCCCTCGAATTAAAAACCACCCCCAATTGAAGACCACTTTTCTGTGGTCTCAAATTAACAAGCGTCTTTTACCTTTTTTATTCTAAGGGCCAAAGCAGCTAAAGAACATGGAAAGGCCGGTCCAACAGTGGTCTTTAAATGGAGAGAGACCTGTAATTTATAGAGACGAGTCGAATGGCCGAGTGGTTAAGGCAGGGTTGCCGCAAACTACAGCCATAATATTGGCGTTGATTCAAACAGCACGCTTGCCTATGGTTCTGGAGGTAGAACAAGTCTTCTGAGATAAGGACTATACAGGGCTAGAAAAAGTGTGCAAGCGCGACTGGCAGTCGGAGACATCATGAAATGTCCCAAAGCCATTTTAAGGTAAAAAAATTTAAAAAAATAAACTGTTGGGCTATAGTGCATAGATAACATTTGGTGCTGAAGGGATTTTATTGAGACAATTTTCATGGTCGGAGAACATTTTTCTTTCAGGCCTGGGACTATAAACCGTATAAAGAACCCAGTACATCTTTCAAGATGAGTAGGGGGTTACATCGGTGTACTGGTCCATATGCAGTTCCTGCTGTGGAGAGACAAGAGTAACTGGTACCGGTAACATGATATCAATTTTCACAGCCACTGCATTAGAGTTACTGAATGAGCTACATAGTACAAGCTTTGAGCGCTCTCATCTTCATGAAATAGCGCATATAAATGCTGCAATTTATGTATATGAATTTGAGTGTATATGTTCATTCCACATATCATGCTTCCTTACTGTTTTGCCTGATGCAACACTCTGTAGAACCTTAGCTATTGATCCCAAGTTGCGCCGTTGTTCCGTTGTCATTCCTTTCTGAGCCCCAACATCCACGATGTCAAACGCATCGGGAGCCACAATGGCAGGGTTCATAAATCTGTAGTAGATGAGGTTACCAACAATCTTGAAGAAATGAAAAAATGTTAAAACTTAGTAATTCATCATCATCTGTTTGTATTTTAGACTCTTGAAAACCATTTCCACAACCCTTTTGGGTGATCTGATATTAAAATATCAAGACATGATGAAAACAACAAAAACAATGAAATAGAGGTTTATAAGCTGGTTTTGGCCAAACAATGCAAGGTGTTCCTATAACGCACTCATAGTGGGCAGTATGTAAGTTACAGTATTGTGGATTGTGTCATACCTTCAAAATATCATCTTCGGCGGCATCTGGGAATTTTTCAGTTAAAGAATTTCTAAGAGTCTTGGCGATGTATCGCATTCCATTTGTTTTTTTTTTTTTTTTTTTTTTTTTCAATAGAATATTTTAGAAAACTGGATCATATATGCCAGCATACACATCATCACCACTAACCAACCATCATTATCATCATCCCCATTGCACCACCATAAACTACACCTAAACTATACTCTATACTGCATATACCTTCACCACCACCATATATACATCTTCAACATCATTAGACACATTTTTACCACCTTTACTTTCATTAGATCTTAAGATCATTGAGATATTTTTTATGCACAATACAAAAAGGTATTATTATTATATTATCATTAACATTATCATTATTTTAGCATCATTGTTCTTTCATCATCATTATTATTATCATCCTTATTGCTTTCATTACTATTATCATCATTTCACTATCAATATTCACCATCATAATCATCACCATTACAAATTACATGAAAAAAATGTAAACGTACGGAATATCATCAATGGCTGATATGATACTTGACAAAAATTTGTCAGAAACTAAACTGAGCTTTGTGATAGATTCTTGCACGCGATTGGCTACTTCGTTATGCTCCATTGCAACTGTCGACGACACGTCGTAAGGTAGATTTCTAAAAAATATAGCAAATATATACATTGAATATCAATAAAGTAATATTTTACGATTTTACAACATACTTAGTTCCTTGGGTATAAGCCCATCTCATGTATAAGCCCACACTCTAGTTTAGGTCCAATTTTATGTACCAGCCTTTTCTCAGACAAAAGCCCAGGGTATGAATTTTACAAATATCTTCAGAAAAAAAACATCAAATATTGGCTTTGAATTAGGCATACAGTGCCAAAGAATTGCCATATGATTAAAAAGGGGATTCAACGAGTATAGGCCAAGCCCCCCTAAAATTGGCCCAATTCTGTGTGTGTAAAAGAGGGGTGGGCTTATTACACCAGATGAACAATTTAAATAGCATACGTTGCCTCTCCAGTTTCTGTCTCTTTCTGATTGATCCATGCCTTGTAGACTTCAACTGGGTTTGTGTTTATGTTTATGTTTTTGTCGTCCATCACTTCCTTGACCAATGGCTGTAGGATGCTTCGAAGTGAACTTTGACCTTTAGCGCCTCTGAAATGTTCAACAATCAAATCCATCACAGGTTACTAATACTGTATTTAAGTGAATAAGCGGTTAGCTATTATAATACCAAAGCTGTAGCCTGGTAGTTAAAAAGCCTATCTTCCTATTCCAGAGTCCTGGGTTCAAATCCTAAGATTTTTTTCCTCATGACCAAAATCAACTCAACTTGCTAAGCTTCTGAGACTTGTATCATTTCCCTCTGTAATGGAACTTTTTGGAGTGTCAATCAAACATAACATCTGTTATGTTTACCTACATTTATGCTATTGTTTTTTGGGACCATAGCAACAATATCGAATGGGCGGAGCTTAGCAAAAAGGTCCATTGCCAATGTAATATAAAATGTAAGTGGATGTGAAATATTAAAAAGAAAAAATAAAAACTGGACAAGGTAATTATTATTATTATTTGTAGAGATTCATATTTCATCTTTTCAAGTTATTTACCTGTTGAATGTAACCACCATTTTGATAACCATGGGATTTCCTGTGATGATTTCCATCATCTTATCAACCTTTGACCTGGAACAAATCATTAAATTAAGCTCAAACACACAGAATTTATAGTTAATAGTTAGTCAATGATAAAATTATCTGCATTATAATTAAATAACAAAGAATAATTACTCTTAATTGAAAAACATGTCATGTTTGAAAAAAAAACTTCGTTAAATATAATACTGCATATAATATTGCTTTTGCAGTATTGAACAAATATTTATTATTTGCGATGCTCAGAAATATTATGGTATATCCATACTGGAGGCTAGTTGTTTACATACCAACACTTTCATAACACATGTATTTAAATGCTTAGCCATGCTATGCACATTGAGCATGCTCAGAATAAGGTATTCTCATTTGCATAAAAAATATAATGCTGTGCATAAATTATACTAATAAAAACAAAAAATAATCTTTGATTTACAATTCTTACAATATTTGTTCTGTGGATACAAACATCAAGCAATGTTAATGATCTATTGCTACGGTAACAGATAATGACAAGACTATAGCTATGGTAACAGATAATGATGACAGTCATGCAAAATGGCAATGAATTTAAAACCAAATGGAAGCCAATGACAAAACACATGTATATATAACACCGGTGGGCATTGCAAATGGTGAATAGAGGTCAAAGGTAAAAAATGAATACTGACAATCCTTAATGAATGGAAAAAATGTCCTTAATATTATAAAGAATCTCAACCACTCAACAATGTGAAATCACAGTTCATAGGGAGCCTTTGATCTGAGGATGGTCAGACTTAGTACGTTAAGGATATCATCTGCGTATCCACTGGCTTCTAGAACAGGTTTGAGCCAAATCTAAGTTGTAAAAACGGCAACTTTTTGAGCCTATTATAGTGTCATGTTGTTGTCGACCAATCAAAAGCTCCCTAATAATCATGCCCACTCAGTACTTAACCATCAACCTATTGGAGTGCTCTCAAGAGTAGAAGGCTACACTTGTTTATGTTGTTTAAGATTATGTGCTTAAATATGGAAAATGAATTATTAGTAATGTCATAGTTCATCTACCATAACTAAACATAAAAGGTCTTACATTTGCATATGACCTTCAGTAAAAAATTATGTAATTTATCATTATAGAACTAAAAAGTTGAAAAATAAATTTTAAAGATTCTAAAATTATATGATATCATTAGTAATAAATGTATAAAAAAAATGAAAAATATAACATAAGTATTTTATGATAGTACAATTCTATAATTCAATATAAATTATTTGATACGTGATGCAACTCTCAAGGTCAAGGGTCAAGTTTGAGTAAACAAAAATCCAGCACACAAATATGGAATACTCATAGTCATACACAGAACAATAAGGATCTGGGATTGAAACTTACAAACTAAAAAAAGGAAAAACATTAATAGAAATATCATCACAAAATTTCATAAGACAAGCTCATTCTCAGGAGACCATCAAACGTTTCCTTCATAACATACCTTTCTAGGAAAAACTCAATAAAAGAGAAATTTTCCCTGAAAATGGGAAATTCATTGAAAATTTGTTGGAAAAGAAGAACAAATTGTTAAGATAATTTACTAATGTTTGCATGTATAGTTCAAATTGAATGTATAGTAAAAATAATTTATAAATTTAATCACCAAAAATGATTAAAAGTTACGTAGGTACAGCAAGAATAAGTACTGTTTTGTTTTAAAAATCATACAGTCATCTAAAACCTCGATAAAAAAATATCTTAAAATCGAACACGATTATTTTAATAAACACTACAAATTACCCACACTTAAATTACTCATTTTACTCTAGGAAATTTCAAAGTGGGTAATTTAAAGTGACTAATTCTACTCAATCCAAAAATATTCATGGGGAAAAACCATGTAAAATATAAATGCAGAAGATATATTTCAGTGACAATCTTGTAATAAAAAAAAAATCATGCACAATCCATTCAAAGTTTTTTAAATCTTTTCTCTAATTTCCACATCTAAAAAGTCCAAGTAATTTCTAATAAACTTTCTACTGAAATCTAGCATTCCTTAAAATTGTGAGGGAACATTACAAAAAATAATGAAAATTCAGTATTTTATTAAAAAAGTAATTAACAATTTTGAAAAATCAACCACAATCCTAGCTCTAATTTCACAAGACACGCATCGACCAGTAAGACATACCCTTTTTCAGCTCCGATTCTGATATTAAAATAGAATGGATGGAAAGAGAAGAACGATAATTGTTAGTTGAAGAACGTAGAAAATGACATGAAAAAGTTAACGGCCATCACCACAATTACAACAGAGAATCTACCAATGAACTTAGTTTAAAAATACAACAGAGAACTAAGTACACTATCTACAATTTCAACAAAAACACTGGACTAACTATATCTACTTAGAAAAGAGGTGGTGGGTCTGAAATTTACTATTTTGACTCTTGGGGGTAGTTTATATCAATCATTAAATGGGTGTGACTAATCATTCTACAACTTGTCAATCATTAACAAGCTGTGGCTAGAAACTACAGAAACCATTGTAGGGATGTGGCTAAAGCTAATTCTAAAAAGAAAAATCACTGTATATTTGTAAAGTTACACCAACTACATAATGACCAAACAGATCTAAGTGGTGATGTTAGATTTATCATAATCTATTATAATTCAAATTTATAATTATTATCATTATTCAATAGTGATTTAATATAATTTGTTAGTCTGTAATGCACTGTATATCTCCAGTATATTATTGTATACTAAAATAGCTTCCAACATTATAATTTTTCACACAATTAATAATTGGTGAAGGCAGCCATTATTAATTGAAATTTATTACATATTATATTAGTTGTGCAAATTTATTCACATTAATATGATATTGAAATTAAGCTAACATACATCAGCAGCAAACCAGCTTAAATATATAGCGGTATTATAATACAACATTTAATGGAAGATTAACTATCAAATAAAAACCTTATCAGATAATGGAGGAAACATATGGATATTTATTATTGTTAACTTATTCCGTACACTCTCAATGGATGAAAGTGAATGAAACATAGATGGGTGGCGTCTTTTAATGAATTAATAATATTGGATTTCACAGCAATGAACAATATTTGGCAATACATTTATCACTTTTTTTTCTAATTTTTTTTGCAAACTGCACAAGCTATTGTTAGTTTTTTTTCTATTAAATTATATTAATCATAGAATTTGTGGAAATAACCTTATAAAATGTGTCTTCCTTTGATGTTCTAGTTTTTGCAATAGATTTTTCATTGCGAATTTGCAGTTTTTATTATTCATTTTAGCAACAGTTTTTTTTTATTATTGCATTTTAATATTGCATTAAAAAGGAACAAGGCACATAATCATGCCTTCAATTTCATGAACTACATACAAGGGTGATGTTAGGACAACTTCGGCTGTTACAAGTTGAGTAAATATTATGTCTACGTGTCTATTTGTATCTATCAATACATACTAAGGAAATAATATATAAACCTTCCTCTATTGGTCTTAAAATTACTCAGGGTACATAGACTTAATATTAAATATGATTTGCACAGAGATTTGACGATTTTGACAAAGAACATCAAACATGGTTATGAGCGGACGGAAACGACGATACACCAATACTTACAGGAGATGGCTTGAAGTGTAAACAAACGACGAGAACAGCCAAAGAAGAAACGAGTGAATTTATATAATAAAAAAGGGGAAAAGAAGAGAAATGCAACAACATCAACTGGTAAGGTATGATAAGGGCAGAAATTGTAATATAGTTTTTAATAAATATCAAATTGTAAATGTAAAACTGAAACATATAAAAATAAAACTTTAACGGAAGACAAACATTACAAACAGAAAAAACTTTAATGTTTCATTTTTTAATTAAAAAAAAACAAAAAACATATTGTTAAGGGTATGCTCTTGACAGTAATATATGACTCTTTAAATTCAATATAATCTATGCATTAAACTGTAGGCATTTTCAAAAACATTATAAAGAGGTAAGACCTTCAAATTTTCTGGTTATGATATAGCACAAGCCAGCAAAATCTAACTCAATTGTACCAAACTTTGGAGGTAGTGACCAGAGCATAAACTTTACAGCATATTATCAAAATAAAATCATAAATGAAAAGAATAATAATAAAATCTGTAACAGAAATTCTTAAAGTTTAAGAAAATAAAATGTCATGGTTAGATTTTTAAAAAAAATATGCCAATGTTTACCCCAGTGAAGCTCCTTCATGACTTATCTTCCAGCTAAATAGTTTGATATTAATAATTTCTTTTAAATTAAATCAATAAACAAAAACCAAATACATATAAAATACCCATTTTGATATACCATTCACATGGGATAAAAAGAAATGAAATTCAATATATTATATCCCATAATCATTTCCCCGTGATTGTTATTCCATAATCCTTATTCCATGATATTCTAACCCAATATCTCATGAAAAAATGTTATATCAAATTGATGAATAAAATTATTATGACCATAATTTGTATTATATATTTTTGTGTTAGTATTTTAAAGACATATATAAAAATATAATTTAAAAAATATATATATAGAGCACACATTACATTGAGTACTGCCAGCAGTACTCAAGGTGCTCAAATTAGCAATCTTATAAAATTATAAATATGAAATGATATAGTAGTAACAATAATTAATATCATCATTTTTTATTATTTAAAAGAAGTTTCATGCATGTTTGAAAAATAGATTAGTTTAATTTAAATATTCTACAATGATAATTATTTCTAATTTTGGACTGAATGGAAATATTTTGAGTACTAGAAAATGAATTAAAAGCTGATGTCTGTTCTATCGTCTTACCTAGCCTACAAGGTGCTCTAAATCGTAAATAAAAAAAAAACTTCACAAGATACTTACTTGATCTCTTCCTCGAGGGCAGTCTTGAAGAGCTTTAGCAGTAGATATTCCTCTCTCTGATTTGCTGCGTAGTTGTACAGTGAGAGGATCACAGACTCAAGGAATTTGGTAGTTTTCACCTGAGGCATGGCAAAAATAAGTTTAGCCAGGTAGTTGGGATTGGTCTGCAGCTGGTAGAACAAATGTTGGTACGACTCCAGCATATGACGCTTCTCCTTGCTTAGGGATTTAATCCCACTGGCTGGTCTGCCCATGTCTGCTGCCCCCTTTAGTTTCTTACTGTGTGTGACAACATCCTGAAAAGAGAAAACATAGTTATTGTACAGAATTGTTTGCTGTCTCAGTCTCTAAGATGAGATGTTTAAGCTGTTGGTCATGTGTGTAAATACTTCTTTTAATTATCACTAAAATTATTATCATCATATAAACAATTTGATACCTGTAATGTGATCCTATTCTTAACCAAAAGGCCGATTTTGATGTCCATTGCGCCAAGGTCATTTTCCAACTGGACGTTTGACCTAATTTGCTTCACAACTTTGGCCTTCAAATCCTGTAATTCTGTCAAGTGAATAACATAAATGATAAATCGTCAATGAACTCACCAATTCTATAATTACAGATGGTACAGTACATAACACCCTATTACTATATTAATTTTGCACAGTATTTAATATGTGGCTAGTGCATTTTTAGTATTTATAAATATTCATACATATTCTGAATATTCATTATTATTAAAGAATATTGATCAAAGTTAACTTACCAAGTTCCTCTGATAGATCCATTTCATTTCGATCCAATAGATGCACATACTTGCGAACAACTTTCAAAGGGGGATTTTCTGAGCTGACTGTAATGGTAGTAAAATATATTATAAAGATACACAGAAGTACAAACACTACAAATTTAACAGGAAATTATCAGTAAAAAGGATGCATAGAGTGGATATTATACAAATAGTTCATTTGTGATGCAATTGTAAAAATAGCATTACATAACACACTCTTAACCAATCAAATGTCTAGGATCTATGCATATAATAATAATAATAATAATAATACAGTAATAATAATTTAAATAACTATTAAGCACTCTTATAAAGATACATATATAATATATAATACCACTTGGATCATGTGTTATAATTGCGTAAAACCATAATTTCTTTATGATTTCAGTTCATAAACACAAATAAATTGACTTACTTAGAATGTGGTAATCATTTCTGGCTTGATTTGCACGATAGAATGCCTGAATCTGTACAACTTCTTTAACCTGAGAATGTAAAGGAAAAATGCATTCTTATCAACACCAAGGTACTGAATACACATGTAATATGCTGTTATATATTCAATAGGAATAGATAGGTACTGTGGCTTCATTCTCACACAAATACTTATCCCCTCCCCTCCATACACTCAGGACATGTATTATCCACAAGATATATGCCTCTACATAATTCATGAGATAGTTTTGGTAGCCACATATTTCATTAAATTATGATACTACCTTCTGGGGCTTCACCCTGCCAAACTCTGTACTAAAGTATACAATACTGACACATTCTTATTATATGCTGATTACTCAGTTTAATTTTTAGTGACAGAACGTTGGTTTCAGAATGGCAAGCCTCATATAAGCCTGGTTCTCACGAGAGCCCTAGTATCCGGATTGGGAGCTAACTGTTAGCACCTGCGTGAGAACGCCCGATCGGTTAGCGCTAACCGTTAGCGCTATCCGGATACGCTAACGGTTAGCAAGCGCTATTGGTTAGCAAGTTGAGGGCGTTTATATCATCAACCAATCACATGTACGCATTTACAATTTCCAGTTTCTTATTGGTCAGTGATTCGATCATATTGTTGGTATCCGGATCAGGATTTTCTCGCATGGACGCACGGCAGCTAACGGTTAGCAGGATTCGGATCCTGCTAACCGTTAGCTGCCATGTGAGAACATAGCCATAGAGTACCACAGTCGTGTCGTCACGACGCCAGGTGGCGCTCTCTGTTGTCAACAGACGTAGGTTACCGGTCATTACGCATGAATGACTGCATAGGCTTTCTGGAATAGGCATTTTATAATCTAATATTTTATCATCAAAATGTACTAAAAACACAAAAGCTCGCATTATATTAGTTATCAATTAAAGTTTACAAAGAAAAAGTAAGATACATCTTAATAATTACGTTGGAAATTGGGATCAATGGTTTGTTAGTGGCAAAAATGGCGTTTGGTTGAACGCATTTTGCAACGATAGCAACAGAGTAGTATCACATGGTATCGTGACGTAACACTGTAGTACTCTATGGAGTATTCCAAATGAACATATGATTCTTAGACAAGACATGACCATGTAGAAATTTGTTATTATAGTAAAACCTTAAATATTGAAGGTCACATTTTATGACTATGCTCACAGTCACATGTTGTTTTAAGATTTAATAGAGAGGTACTGTATGTCTGAACGTAAGGTGTAGGCTGTATAATAGCGAGTATATCATGTACTTATTCAGTTTAGGTACTACCATAGGGCCATTCATTCAGGTATATGTGATCAAAAATATTTCTTTTCATGTCTGACAAAAATCTAAATTAATCAGAAATATCTAATGAAACAGCTGTTGTGTCTAATAAACTAAAAATCTGACATTTTATGACAGGGTGTTGTCTAATTAATGAGGCTCAAGATGGGAGTTGTTAGACACGAGACAAAATCTAGGCCTTGAACTAAAAAATCTTGAATCACTTGGAAGGTATGTGTTTTCACCATAATGATTTTGCTTTTTTATTATGGAATTAACTAACTACATAACTGACAAAATCAGACTTTGGACTTACATGATCTTTGAAATATTGCTTTCGTTTCCTGTACTTGTTTTTTGCAGCCAACATTCTAGCATATGATTGTAACTGTTGAAAAAGGTGTGTAAATGTTGTAACATAAACAGCAATAGTGTAAATTAATATATCAGTATAGCTCATAGTGTGTATATACTGTAGTCGCTATCATACTTCACATATTAAAATTAATTAACACAAATAATAGTACATTACATATGAGAAATATATCAACCCTCAGCTTTTGTGGAATCAAAAGGGTGTGTGACACATTATGATTGCTTTTGTCTTCAGACTTGCTTTTCTCTCCTTACCGAGATGTATGGATAGGTACCAGATAGGATGAAAGAAAGGAGGTTTAGACATTGTGAAATATTGCTTCTGAATTCAGTGACCAAGGAATAAAAAGTTCTCAGTATGTGACTGAAACAAGCAAAAAGGTGCTATACAAATTAATTAATTGACTCAAATCAAAGAGTTCAGTGTTATATACGAAAGGCTGAATGGGGACTATAGTAACATTTAACAAGCCAAACAAGCTGTTATATAGCTCAGCAAATCAAATTATGGAGGTACTACAAAGTAGGTATCCTAGCTTGCATGTTTGGGGCTGTGAATACAACTGTCGAAGAACACAACTGACTATAGGAAAACTGAATTTGTACAAGAAACTGGTACCAACCTTTACTGTAGCATCTTCTTGTGAATTCAGGTACTCAAGTCTATCTCTGTAGATTTTCTTTTGAGTAATACCTTTTAGCCAACTCTGTCAATGAAAATATCACATTAAAATCTAGAAATAAAAGCAAAATATGTATCAATTTTTTTGTACATATTAATAAAATGCAAACAAAAAATATTGAAATTAAATTAATCAAAGCGCATCTGCAAGCCGCTATTGCAAAAATAGAAAAACAAAAATAGGGGGAAAAAAATGTTTAACTACAATACCAAAAAAAACTCCATTTTTGTTGTTGTGACCAAGGTGGGCTACTAAAAGATATGAAAGATCCGGGGATTATAAACCAAGACCCAAAGAAGACATGTTTGCTAAACTCAAGACTTCAATGCTTTATGATCTTGGTACTGTCTTCTGGAGTCAAGAACCACTACCAGCACATCTTAATATCATAACTTTTGAATACATATGATTATTTGTCCTAGTAATATTTAAGTCAATTCAATTGATATAGATATATATACATATAAGATAATGTTAATAATAATGGTATATTTGTTAGCTTAGATTGTTAATTAACTTAATTATAAACCAATTAGGTTAAAAATATAAAGCAGATAAAGCTCTAAAACAAAATTTGCAATATATAACCAAATAAGCAGTATATATGAACCAATTAGAATTAGAAATATATGCATAAAATGCTGAATATAATGAAACATAAAGCAAGCATTTAGATCATGCTATAAGTTTTCCTTTAAAAAAATCATCACCACTACATACCAAATAGCATCTTATTATATCTAAACAACTATAAAAAGGGAATTTTCAGGGAAAAGCGATAAAAGGTCATGTGTATTTGATCTTTATATCTACATTCATAAAATTTTAGAATGTTTGCCGAAATTCTCTAAAATAATAAGCAATGCTGACTAAAAGGGTTGGCTCAAAACAAGAATGGGAAAAATATATGCAACGGAAAATCAATAAAATTGTGGATTCAATAAAATCAATATTAGGGGAAAAGATAAAATAAAGAATAAAACACATAGAAAAAATGGTATATGGAAGAATGATGTTTGTTTAATGCTCAAACATGAAAACAGATTAAGGAAAAATGAAATGGAGAAAAAGAATATGATGACTATAGAAGGAATGGAAGGAAGGATGGAAGAATATAAAGAACTTGAAGATTGATCTAGAAAAGCGATGGAATAAGCTATGGAAAAAATAAAGGATGAAGAAATGGCAAAAAAAAAAACCAGAAAAAAATATTTCAGATACAATGAAAAGCTCAAATAAAAAAAAAAAAAAAAAATGCCAACAATGAAAAGCTCAAATAAAAAAAAAAAAAAAAATGCCATTATCATCTACAAGCAAGGTTTTGAAAGAGGAGCTTTTTTAGCCATAAGGATAAATCCTGGAGTTCCAGGATTCCAACCCAGAGCTTCATTATAGCAAGCATTTTAACCAAAACTACCAATTTACATTACCATAACATATGGAGCATATCTAAAGCAGGTAAGTTAGTATGGAAATGAAATGCAGATGCTAGGATGGTACATGACTCAATATGGATTACATATGGACTACACATGGTAATATGTAAATGAAATGCAGGTGCTAGGGACAGATAATGATTTCATATGGATTACAAATGGGAGTTGTTAAACAAAAAAATTATATAGAAGATCAGATGTGAAATGAAGCTTACATGGAAATAAAAAAAAGAAACACAAAAAAGGGAGAAGTGAAGGAAACTGGGAAAAAAATTATGGGTAAAAAATTCAAGAGAAACAAAGACGCTTTCTGAACCTGAATTCTGATGATAGCCGGAAGTTGACGTCGGATAAAATCCATGCGATCGTGAAATGATTTGCGGGCAATCATTCCACGCGTATGCGCTTGTAAGGTAATGATTTTATCCTCGTTAGACTTGAAGAGTAACTGCCTGTCGTAGTTGGAGGTAACTTTGCTAAGAACACCCTACGTAACATGGTAAAGATAAAGAACGGTAGATAACAAACATGCAGTTAAGGTAACCACACAACAAACCGTAAGTAGTGGAGTAATATAACAAATAAGTTTAAAAGTGTATGGTATAATAAATGCAGACATATAATATTGTGTAATTGAAAATATTTGTATGTATGTCCCATTATACCAACCAAGTTCTCAATAATTCTTTATTGAGTGACCTGTAGAAAATATTTACTTTTGTGTATTAAGAACAGAAAAACGTCTAAGAAACTGAATTTCAATATTGAATTGCTCTGTTTATATTTACAAGTTCAATATGACACATACATTAGATTTGCCTATATAATTGGCAAATACCATATATTTGTCACAGACTACTTGTAAATGCTTAGCACTGGATTTATTATGAAAAGAAGTCTTTATACTACCACTGATAAAGAATGTCCGACATTTAGCATGTATGATGTAATATTATATAAGTATAATAAGAATATATATATATTATGTAGTGAAACGTTCACGATAAATATATAGTTGAAATTATGTCCTTATACACTACTAATTTATAAAGATTTTACAGTCAAAAAACACAACAATCAACATGTTATGGGGAAAGGCATCCAATTAAAAATTAATTATTGTTTTAATCTTGGTTCAGATTATCAAACTCCATTTGACAAATAATGGTTATATGCCCATATTTAGACATGATATGCATATATATGGCCATGATATGGTGTTGTCATGACCATACTTAGGCATGTCATATGTGTTTGTCAAATAAAATTTATAGTCTGGACAGATCTTAAAATATACCACCCAAAAAAATTGGATTGCTCAAGTTAACAACTTAAATTAAGTGACAGATAAAAAAATAATTTTCAATGATTTACAGAAGTATTATATCTTTAAATTTGCTACCAGAAGTTTTTAGCTATATGCAAAGACTATATGGAATGCTATATATATTAATATATAAATGTCTGTTAATTGGTGAAGAAAATTTGTTGTGAATTTCTGTTGAAAGTTAATGGCTTATTGAAATATATAAATTAAGCTCTTAAATTTATCTTTAAATTTTCAAGTTTATATTTGATTTAGGTGACCGAATATATCTTTTAATTTTCAGAAAATATCTGAAGAAATGGTGTTAAAACCTGAATGTAATTTGTAGGAAAAATATTTTAGTAAAACAAAATCATTAATGGAGTCAAGAAAGTTAAACTTATAGTAGTATAACCCAACAGGAAACACTAGGATTAATAATAAAATGTATAAAGCAATCAAAAATGCTGTGTGTGGTATATACTCAAACCTGTATCTCCTCCTTCGATAGCTGGTGACTGTTGAGTACAGCGCCCTCTGGAAGCTCCCAGTTTGATTCATTTGTGTTTATATTGTAGTAGTAGTCAAGGCCATCTTTAGTTTTAAGACAGACCCAGTCTCCATTTGCATCCCCTTCTCCTGCAATGTGACAAAATGGAAGGTTATAAAATTTAGTTATTAAGTTATATATGAATCGAGGCCATAACAGAGGAGGATAGTAATGATACTGATCCAAATGAATGATGATGATGATGATGATGAAGATGATGATGTATTATGACAATGATAATGATGATGATAATAAAGATAAGTATTAGAGAGAGTAAAGGAGGAAAGAACATTATTAGTTATGATAAAAGACAGAAAGAAGAAAAGGATTCGGACATATGCTGTACTTAGAGGAGATGGTCTTTTGAGAGATATTATTGAAGGAAGAACAAATGGCCTCGAGGAAGAAAAAGAGTATTGTTGTTGCATGACCTCACAGAAACAAATGAAAGCTGTACCATCATGAAACGTAAATCATATGATAAAGAAAATTGGAGAAATCAACTGCTATGAACCTGCTAGTAGGCAGAAAATAGATGATGATGATGATGATGATGATGACGACAGAGATGTAATAATATGACGAAGATTATGTTAGTAAATGTTGACAATAATGATGTTGATGATATTTATTATAACAATTATAGGTACTGTGAAATCTTCCCCTTTACCCCAGTAAGTAATCAAAAAAAAAAACTTTCACTCAATAACATGTACCTTCCAACTCTTTGGCTTTCTTTGCCGCCACAAGTTCCTTCAGATATTCACCAGCACATTCTGGTGTGATGGAGTGAAATCCGACACCAGGATTTCCGATGGCTTTCATAAGGTCATCTTCGGATGCAGCTTCTGACGACAGAACAGCATTGATGGCTGCTACTCCAGATGCCACTGGATATGAAAGAGCACATAAATTTTATGTTAGGCAGTGGCACAAGCTAGTGTTGAAGGTCTTGTGTTAACAATCTGATAGAGCTGTCTTTAGCCCTGTGTAGACTATCAGATTTTATGTGACATGCCTAAATATGGTCATGATGACATCACATAATGCCCATATATAGGCACATCATGACTATATATGGGCATACAACAGCTTTTTGTCAAAGAAAATTTGATAGCATGGACAGAGCCTTACATTTATTCATGTCTGCTGCTGTTTTGTTGGCACCATCAATAGCATTCTGGATCTCATCCAACCACAGCATTGGGTCTGATTCATCATCGGAATTCTGTGAAAATAAGAAAAATATCCTAGTAAACGATGAAAGAAAACTATGATGAAGAAAAGCCTTTGGCTGCACCCCATCCAAATTATTTTAAAAAAGGGGGGGAAAAAAAGGAAAACTCTATTCAAATTTCAGCCAGATGCAATAATCATAAATTTTAGGCCTACATCTTCCATCTGTGAAAGTATTTCCCTGGGCACCCTCTATTTCAAATTCCTGGATCCACCAAGTCTGAAAAAATAGCTGGAAGTAATATTGCAATCAGCCTTGCAACTCCACTTTTGATACAGGTTTACTCACCCAAGATTTTTTCTCTTTCTCGGCCTGCAGTTGCTTCTGATAGAGCACAGCCTCATGTGGTTGTACATCATTCAGCTTGGCATATGGCATCTGAAGAGCTCCAAGGGTCATCTCAGCATCACCCTCATCAATAGCTTCATTAATGGCAGTGATTGCAAGGATCCCTGGAGAAAAAATATGAAGTTGTTTAAACAAATTTACACTGTAACCATGTAAGTGCCAGATTAGAATAAGGGCCAATAGTTTTTATATCAATTTGTGTGCAATGTAAAGAATGTTACTTATATACATACAGTACATTACGTCATTTCATAAAGATCAGAGCGCTTTTTGCTTTTTTTTGGTATTTTTTTACTAATATACTGTGGCATAAACAAATCAAAACAAGAAACCATTTTTTAAACCTATCCTGAAAATCTTTATATTTTTTACACTTAACACACTACTAAAGAATTACATTATGTTTTATTTTCCGGTCAAGAAATATTAGATCAACATAATCAAAGATATAATTAATGTGAACACATACTTTCTTGTTCTTCATGTACTGTCTGATTAACAATCTCAATACACTGTTGAACTTCTTCTTGTGTTAGGAAATCAATTCCATCCTGCATAGAAAGCAAATATGCAAATGTTAACCAAAGTGGTACACCACAGTGGTATGGTAAATACCCCTTTAAATAGTAAAATATTTTATTTAGATGACATCATCACAATATATAGTGGTGTTCTAATATCACTATTGTATACATAGCAAATTATTAACTGATGGTTATACATGAGGCTATGTGCTGCATCATAGCCAATCAGAGGAGAGTAACCTCAGGATGTTTACATAGAGAGATGACTAGTGGGCTTAAGACCAGTAAGTCAATTCATAGTTAGAACTGCTAATGCTCATAACGAGATCAATCGACAAAAACACCAATACACACAACATAGGTTTATGTCGACTGACCTTGGATACCACTGGATACGCAAATGCTAGGTTAAAACCACAAATTGCCTTATTCTGACGTCACTATGAGAGTGAAATGAAAATAACTGTGTGAATCACTCTCACAACACTCTATTACAATACTCAGATAATGCACTTTTAGAAAGTTATTTGTAACTTCCACAGTCATCCTTATTAAAGTCTATTTTATTGGTTATTGGGTCAACAATGCCAATCAATGTTTCAATTTGTTATCATATGATGTCCATATGTTATTCATGTGCACTGCCACATGATTCATAAAAACAAAGTTAATACGACACAGATACTGTTAGGCAAGACTTTATAACTTGTTTCTCGAACTTATTTTTTTAAGACTGTCAGAGGAAGGCGGGGAAAAAATTGTTTTCTTATGGAGTAAATATTTTGCCAAAAACATCCACACAAAGGAGAAAATCAATATAAAATTCTATTGGTGAATATGTGTATAACAGTGTAGTAATGTGTTGGTTAAATGCTTTAAATTTATATAATTAGAAAGAAGTATACATATCATATTTTTGGAGATTTCAACGTGGCAGCGGTGTAATAAAAATATAGAAAAACTGTTTTTAAATTTCCATTTTATCATCATGAAGGGTGCGCCAATTGGCCAAAATAAAATTTTATATTTATTCGAAAATTATCATTTGCAGGCGGTAAAACAAGGTATAAAAAAGTCTTGCATTATGGTGAGCTAATAAACTTAAAAAAGAAAATTCAATATTTATTTCATTGGTCAAACAAAAATAAATAATTTATTAAAATTCTATAGAAAAAACAAAACTAAACAGGGTTAAAACTGTTAAGGATGATAACAATTAGTAAATTGAGTTTAATTTTTTGTGCATGTATATTTGGATGTTTTTTAAGTTTAAATATTTAACATGTTATTTACTTATTGTGTTTGGAAAAACAAGAAACCGATCACAAAAATCAAAACGTTAAAATAAGACAAGACATTTAAGTTATTTACAAGTTTAAACTTATAGGCTGATTTATTTATTTATATTGATTATATGTATTATGTGTCTGTGTTTGTATTTGAGTAGGTGTTTTGTGTATTATGTAGTAAATGATATTTTTATAATACATTGATATATATTTGCTACTGATTCATGATTTATTATTGTATCACTATATTTATGTATTTTAAAAATCATAATACTGTTATAAACATATTTTAAGACACCTTGTTTTACAAACTCTCATTTTTAAATTTTTTTTTTGGTTGTTCTTTTACCATGATGAATGAAATAAAGGTGAATATATAAATATACTGACACATTACCAACCTCGGCTTTGGTATGTTTGACGTTTGTCATTGTAGTGTGATAACGTTCTGCGTAGGTCAAGTCAGCCTCCACTTCATCGAGTGCAGCATCTGGGTTTAAAAGGGCATTGACTGTCTCCTCCGAGCTGCCGGTGTTCAGGGCATCGTTGATCAAAGCAACAGCAGATAAAACTAACAAAAAAATTGAACATTCAATCATATTAAAGCAGCTGTTATCAAAAGTATTCATCCATGATATTTAAATGTATTACACATACATACATATTTTTATATATCTACAATACATTCACTTATGAATTTTAATATTTAATCACTAACCTTGAACAGCAACTGTTAACTGACCATGGGTTAAGTCCTGCAAATAAAATGAAGGAAATTTACAGATCATATTCCATTTATGTTTATTTGTGGATTACCTTATTTATTCAATTAACCGCCTCAGGGTTTTTATTGCTGGCAAGGGCTTTTGAGGGTGCTTTATATTGAGGGAGTTGTTTTTTGTTTTTTTTTTAAATAGATATGTATACTCTAATAAACACCATTTAATTTCTCTGTAAATGTGAACTACAACACATAATTACTGTCAAAATGTGTTATGCGTGATCCTAAAGATTTATTAATTCCAACCAGGTTAGACAAAATGTAATTCTACTGGAGAAGAATCTGTCTCTTATACACATCTAGATGTGTATAAGAGACAGAATATAAAAAATAAAAATATATATATATATATATCTGCAAACGTAGACTTTTGAGCTTACCCCTTCATTGGTATCTCTGATTTCTTTCAGTTCACTTTGGTAAAGTTTTTCTCCACTGTCGTACACTTTAGGTAATTTTGCTTCTGGACGTTTTAGCGCTTTTAGAGTCTCAGCAGAATCCTGACCGCCGATGGCCAAATTTATGTCTGCAATTGCTTTGACAACTGGAAAGGAAATCGTTACTAGAATACTGTTATTGTCCAAGGATAAATCAGAAATTCCCTTTAATGACAATACGCATGACATCAAGTAACAACAAAAATTAATATAATTTACAGTCTTTAGTATTTTGCATATACACAATTACATTTATTAGTTTAAAGTATCTTACAGATTTTGGAATGTAAAAACTTTTTTTTTTTTAAAAGCAATTAGGTGAGAATTTTTTTATACCTTATTTAGCAAACCCACCGCCCTCCAATGATGATGTTGAATAAAAATAAAATTAAATTTTTGGCCAATTAGCACACAAGCCGCCACAAAAAACTGAAAATTTCAGAAAAAAATTAATGTTTTTCTTTATCTTTATAAGCCCGCTACTCAGTGGCATATCTAAAAGTCTTGAATTGGGAGGGGGGGCTACAAAGGTGAAGTGGGGGATCGATGATCAGTTGAGGGGCGCTAATTCGCAAAATATGGTGATTTTAAACTACTTGCCCGTGATTTTGAGGGGGGGGGGCGCGAGTAATTTTTGGGGGTCGTGCGCCCTCCCTAGATACGCCACTGCCACTACTGCCTTAAGATACTGTATGTATATTTCTTCCTAATTATAAAAATTTAAAGCATTTAACCATCTAATTACTACACTGTTTACATTCACCAATAAAATTTTATTTTTATTTTCTCCTCCGTCTGGATGTTTTTGGCAAAACTCTTTGCTAAATGAAAAACCAAAATATTATTTTTATTTTTTATCCAACTTCCTTTGACGCCATTTAAAAAATATAGGTTCGTGAAGCAAGGTATAAAGAAAGTCTCGCCTTACGCAAACGTTTAAAAAATAATTGTTAACTTACAATTCTTGTGATCCTTTGACTTCTTGTTAGCAGCATTAATTGAGGCCTGGATATCATCTTTATCTAGGTTCTGCAAAAATGTACAAATGGTAAAAATAATTCCCATGATTAATATATATTCCAAAGACAAACAAGTCCAAATACCAGCACAGGGAATTATGAAATGGACAGACTTCCTTATGAAAAAACAAAAGCTCTTCACTGTTATAACTTAAATCTTTCCAAAGAAATATATCTCAGGATTAAATTTAAATTCAGAATTCTCCAAGAAGACAATCATAGAATCAGATGACAATGCAAATAAATGACCACGAAACTAGAAGAAAATTAGATGACAAATGTGTTCTTGGGCACAAACAGTGTTCAACAAGAAACAAATCACTTTCCACAGTGTTTAGGTTTTTTGCATGCTGTCCTACAGGGAGTGGCTTACTATCTAAATGAGCATGATATAAATACAGACTATAAATGATACAGTATTGGGAAATAGTAGCATGTGACCCATATTGCTAAGACACAACAAGCATCAAAACAGTAAAATAGTCACATCCTCATTGCAAAAGTTCAAGTATCGAGTTATTTGTGAATTTTAAAACAATTAGGACATATAGACCCACAATGGTACACAAACTAAACGAGTGATTTGTTAAAAACTATGTGAGCTTTAATTATTTTAAATTAGGTTATTAGGTGATTTTAATCTGTGCAATATCTCTCTGGTTTTTTGTTTATCAAATCTGTAGTGAAAAACACAATTTTCATATTATTATATGACAAATAAAGTTATCTTGAACACACTATGTTTTTAAGGTATATAGACATTTATATTAATAAAGCACAGACACACACAATTGTAGACATATCCTGGAATTATGGCATAGGCATACAGTAAGCGCACACACACTATTGCCTTAAAAGTAGACATATTTGAAGGTTTTTATTAATATTAATATTATATTCAAAAATAAAAATGTTGATTATATTAGAAACATTTTGTAACTTTATATAAATTTACCATTCCAACTTAACTTTAAAAAAATGCTCAATAATTATAAAAACTGTTATTTTCAAATTCTACTGTGGGCGGCAGACCATGTGTGACTGTATCAAAAGCATGCACAAATAATATGTACTTCCTATTAGAGTTTTTTGAGGCTACAATTATGTTTTGTGAACAATGACGAAACTCTGCCATGGTTGTTGTACCTGGTTGTAACTTAAGGGATCTGATTACACAACAAGCTGCAATCCACTCCATTCAACAATAATTACTTTAAAATTATTATATTATAGGTGACCCTCTAATTAAAGACCCCCCCCCCCCCCTCCCTCTAATTAAAGCCCCCCCCCCCCCCGAATTATAGACTATCTCCAATTAGACAACTTTTCTGTGGTCCCATATTAACAAATGTCTTTTATATTATAAATAGAGACCAAAGCTGCTAACGACCATGGGAACCCAGGTCCCAATAGTGATCTTTAATTGGAAGGAGACCTGTAAGTGTAACTACACTAGTTTTTTGGCTGCCAGTTGTTCTCACCTGTCCTTTAGCTTCCTTGGCAGCTTGTAGTTCTTGTATGTACCATTTTATGTTATCTGGGTCAATGTTATTAAACTTGAGGATGTCACTGCTAAGTGCTCGCAATACTTCATCTGGGTTCCCACTGTTCAGAGCATTATTAAGACAAGCAACCTCCAGGGTAACTATAAACAAACAGGTACACATTGAATATTTACCATTACACTCTTCACTTTACCTTTTGTTTACCTGGGCATGGCGCTTGGGGACCTTGGTTATTTGCGCCTTATAAATCGACCTATTATTTTCATTATTTATCATTTATATTATTTTTTTTAATTATTTAAATTATCTTTTAATTATTGACTTAAATTTGATTATTTATTTTAACAACAATTGATATAATATATGTTGACTTTTATATAGTATCCTACACTCCTAATCCTCAAAATGCCTCGCTACCCCAATCATAGAAATGATGGCCTTGGAACATAGATCCTCTGGCTCTCTGGCAGAGTATATGAAATAAATCGTTGCACTGGCACTCAAGCCTTTAAGGTACACACTTACAATCTGAGTGTGGAAAAACAATTTTGATAAAGTGGCTTGTCTGCAATAGTGGGTGGGCCTGGACTAGTATAGCGTGGGTTTCAAACCTCCAATCTCAAGGATGGAAGTATAAGCCACAATGCCAATCGCTTCCTGTATTACTTTTATGTTAATATTTGATCAAATTTTGGCCACTATAAATCAAGTGCTTTACAAGAATTGGGAGTATTTGCTTGTGCTACTGTATGCTATAATAGAACTGAATCTAGGCCCTTGGGATTTTATCCATCCTAAATCTGTGCCTTTTTTGTTTGATTTCCAAAATTTTATTTTATTCAGTATTATTCTCAATGTATCCTGAATCTGGGATGTATCCTGAATACAAAGTAATATTCTTTTCACAACCCATTACATTTTACTTCTAAGTTTGTAAACCCACTAAATTTATATGAACGTAAATATTCCCAAATCAGTCTGATTTTTATGACCCTATATTCTCATGACCAGGGGCTAAGACATAGGATTGAAATGATATAAAATCCAGTTTAATAATTGGAATTCAGACATTTTAAGCTGATCATTAAAGAGATGAAAATGTTAGTTATGTCATTATATTGAATAGCCTCTAATTCACTGGACCAAATCTAGAAATAATCCCACTCATTATTAGAATCTCATAACAAAATAAACAAAATTCTCTTATCTATAAAGCCAGGCATGTACTTTAGAATATAACAATATTTACGTTATAAGTACGATTGCGAAAAATGCAAGACTCTTACTATTAACTTTGTTGATGTTTCCTTGGATTTCAGCTTGAGTAAGCAGAGTATCGTAGACATCACTTTCCATAACTTCCCCTTCACGGATAGACTAAGTGGGAGAAACAGATACAGGAAAAGTTATTAGAAATATGTCTTTGAGGAAACCTTGATAAAAAAAGATGAATGCCATATTCTTTAGTCCTAAAAATCTTGGTAACATCAACGGCCATATACAGTAGAACCGCTATAAGGAGACACCTTTAGGACCAAAAGTGTCCCCTTAACAGGGATATCTCTGAATAGGGGTTGGCCATAGTGTTAAAAGATATTCCTTGTGGCCAAAAACGTGTCCCCTTAATAGGGGTGTCTCAAAAGAGGGGTTCTACTGTACTTCTAATACTACTAATGCGAGTATTTGAATATTTCATTTCTTAAACTTTTGGCTTTATTGTTTAATGGAACAAAAATGTGTGATAAAATTATTTGAATATGCAAAATAATCCCATCATATGTTAAATTTATCTCACAAATCATTGCATGGTGGCGCTCTTGCATGAGTGGGGCAAGAATTTTAGAACATACAGACATTCTCATTTTCATGTCCTTTTGTTAGCTCTCTAGTACTCTGGTGGTTCAAGCTCTGTAATTGCTACCAAGTTCCATGTAACAAATTTGTGTGATTAAACCATAACTGGCATGCTGATGTCATAACACACCCACATATGAGGCTTGCCATACTGTCACTGACTGTTAAACTGAGTATTTAGCATAAGAATGTGACAGTATTGTATACTTTAGTACAGAGAAGCTGTAATACTTTTACTCACAACTTTGGTAATAGTAAATAGATTCCAAAATGACCCATCATTTTTAGGCTTATAATGTGGAGAATATGATTATTTTAAAAAGTCAATTTTCATGTTTTTGACACTGATGTTGGTTTTGGCATGGCAAGTCATAATAAAGATACATTGCATCCAAATATGGGTAAATCACAGGTGACAACATTTTAGACGTTTTTAGTTATCCTTCATAAAAAAATGCTAATGATAGGGAACTTATATAGAACATATATATGAATTAATTATATAATATTAATAAAACCATATACTTTTTCACCGCAAGTATTTACAATGGATGTTGTATATTGGTAATTTATGTATGACCATTTATTTCTATGTTATATTTTAAGCCATTTTTATAGTTCATTATATTTGATCATTGTTTTAATTGTTTTACTGTATTTTAATGCGAGAACAAAATTTCCGACTTGGAGCAATAAAGTGTATCTTATCTTATCTTATCTTACTATGTGATAAATTCCTGAACACCTCCAAATTCTATCCATTACTAATTCTATTTGAAGAAACCATCTTAATGTGAAATCACAATACATGAAGGTATATATACAGTACCACCAAGTGTTATTAGTTACTACGATTCATTCTAAATCAATTGTTATTACCATGAAAACATCCAAATATTTAATAGACAATTTTAGTAAGTGTAGAAAAGCTATTGACTTGATATTTGTGCAAAAATAATAGATAACTTCTCATATTAGTCATGTGATTTCTTATGACAATGAAATTTAGTCAGATGACTTTTAGTACAGTAAATATGATAGTCAGGTGACTTAATATTAGGGGAGTAAAGAAACTGGTGTCTCAATATATAACTATATTAATATATTACTATTTGATGTCCATTCACCAATATATAAAAGAAAACGTTCCTCATGTCTTATTAAATAAAAACTCATCACGAATGAAGACAATAATTGGGCTCTACTGCATTGACATAGATGATCTCATTCAACAACTTTCCTCAGTCTTAAGGGTTATTTCATGTCTGTATTTCAGATCACTGACTCTTACATCCACAAGAGGGGCTGGAAGAACCATTACACCCAGGTAACCCCCCCAGTTTTCTTGGATGTTCTTTTATGTACAGAAAAGCAGTTATGTACACTGGGCCTATAGTTTTCAGTCCTCATCCATTAATTTGGTATCAACAAATGGAACATTCAGTGGTATTCAAATTCAAAATCAATAACAGGTTTACCAAATCTTTCTAGCATAAACATTTTAAGTGAATGAGAAATCAGATGTATACGTGAGGGAGGCTACTTAGGAAGCTACGAGTTGGGGTTCAATTAATTTTTTTTAGGGTTGCTCTCATAAATATTGAAAAAAAATGTAAATAAAAAAGGTAGGATTATTAATGAAAAGTGAATTGATAGTCAGTTATAGTGTTAAATCACAAGATCCATTTTTACTACAGTTTAGTGATCAATATGTTTGTAAACAAACATGTTTTTACACCCTATGATATTTTCCATTGATCTCAAGCACTTTAAGCATTTCATTGATGAGTTGTATATACAACTCTATATTATTATAATCATTATGACTGTTATAATCCATCACCAAACTTACTTGATCTTGAGCCTTCGGTTTAGAACCCTTTGGGAAATAATTATCATTAATAAATGTTTACAAAGATGTTGGAAATATTCTTTGACAGGAAGTTTCATAAGGCTCATTAAAAATTGATGTTACTAGTCTAAATACTGATGAAGCTGATGATGATTATACTTATGATGATGATGATGCTGAGGTATTTTATTTCTTTATTCTTTAAACTGGGAAAAACTGTTCATTAGGATAATGAACAGACTGATAATTATTTGTATACAACGCACAAAACGCATAGATGGCTGTTCTGTTGGATTGGATTGGATTTATTCAGCGTAAACACCAAGGATAGCCCACGAAAGTCTAGAAGAAGACTAATTTCCAGTGGGGTCCTTCTGGTGGTGATTGGGCAGTACACCGGGAGACAATTCCCTACTCTTTTCCGAAGAGCGTACTATCTTCTTTAACGTGCACATGGGCCATAAATGCACACGGGACCAACGGCTTAAACGTCTCATCCGAAAGACGGTGCGCTATTGTAACTTATATTTCAGCCCTCTAGCTGAAACACAAGGAGAGGCAGCGATGGGAATTGAACCGGGGACCTAGAGATCTCCACAGTTCAGCGCACACACAGTGGCTACCACCAGATTAGGCGACTGAGCTAAGCTGCTCTCTGTACATGATGTGACTTCTAACAATTGATATTTATAAGTTTACTTATTCTCACCCTGTCTATTACGGCTGTCCTATGGCTAAACAATGTAACTGCTGTTATATTTTTGTGCAGTTGTTGTTTTTACCTTGGAACAGCCGATTAGATCTAACACCTATGAAACACACACACTTAACTCAAATTTTGATGAGTATAATATTACTGATAATGTCTATGTGGAATTGTATTATGAATGCACTAATTAGTAATAATTATGTTAAAAAATTGCATCTCACCTTGTTCAGAGCATTTTCTTTTTTTTCTTCCTTTGCTATGAACAATTCATTTTGGTATTCCTGCTTGTCTTTCGGGTCCACGTTGAGGAGTAGCGCATTTGGGTTCTGTAGCGCTGCCAACGTCTCCTCAGCATTTTCATGCTCCACGGCTTCGTTGATTGCAATCACGGCAGCATGTACTGAATTTAAACAATTAAAACAGTGTTAGTAGTAGCTTACTAGTAGTGGAAGTACTGTAGTATTACCAGCTTTAGTAGTAGTGGTGGTGGAAGTGGTTTTAGATTATGAATCTCAAGGGGCAGATGTTTCCACATGGAAGATATTTGAAATTTCCATCAATCCTGTCTTGGTGTTGTGTAGGCTTGTCATTGTTTACTTTACAGGCTTACTCTTCACCAGTAGTGGCTCCAAGGGGTTCTTAACAAATCCAACATAGGGGTTTGAACCAAGTGGGTGCCTAGGATCTCTGATCATGGTCTTAGAAGTAAACAGCTTCATTATAAGTTTAATTATTACATTTTACAGATGACTAGTGTAGCAAAAAAGAGTTTTCTAGCTAAAGAAAGTAGGCGAATTGCACATGCAAAGGGTTTATAATCTATTTTCTCAGGCTTCCCCAAAAAATTGTTCTAAAAAGTGGAATCATCTATATTCAATATAAACAAATTTCTGCCCTATACTCACATGCTGCCTCATCCACTGACATCTAAAAAAAAAATAATCAAATACAAACATTTAATCCATATTTTTGGTATTTATTTGTAAGTCAGTTATTGTAAATCCATAAAAACTAATTTCTGTATCTAAAGCTGAGCAATTACTGCATTGTACGACCATCGTATGACCGTCGGCTGACGAATCCAATTCCACTCCATGTAAACTTCGATGGAATTCTGTATTTTAAAAATATTGTGTGCCTTTTTATTGTGTTTTTTTCTGGCTGTTTGATTGTTGTTGGAATTTTATTGTATCTTATAATGTAAACTTCAATGCAATTCTGTATTTTTAAATTTTGTGTGTTTTTTATTGTGATTTTTTCTGGCTCTTTGATTGTTCGTTGGAATGGAGTGTATTTTATAATGTTAACATCAATGTCATTCAGTTTTTTTACTGCGAATTTTATGAATGAAAATACTTGAATACTTGAAAAATATAGCTGATCATTTTACTAAATACATATCATACCTCTTGTTCCTAAAGTGATTTAAAATTTTAGACTTACTAATACGACAACTATGAAGCAATAACATCATAACTAAAGAAAAGCTACAGTATCAAAGGCCATTTTAATGCACATTTCAAAATATTTGATAACAAACTTTCTTGTCATCCAAATTTCAAATTATGTAATCAATATTTTCCACATTTTAAATCATATTTTTAATCAATATTTTGAAATTACACTACATCTTATGACTTCTCAATGTCATTTAAATAGCATATCATACAAGATACAGCAATAATGATAAAGATAAAAACATTGAAAATGATGATGACTATACAGATATTGATGTTGAAATTGATGATGATGTTCAAATAGTAATGAAGATGATGATAATGATGTGGAAGATGATGTTAAAGATGATAATGATAAATGAATTCCAATGACAACAATGATTATAGAGAAGTTGAAGATGGCAAATATGATAATAATAAAAATAATAATAATAATAATAATATTAATTATAATAATAACAATAATAATAATAATAACAATAATAATAGCATTAATAATAATAATAATAATAATAATAATAATAATAATAATAATAATAATAATAATAATAATAATAATACTGTATTCATCCCCACAAAAAAAGATAAAAAAATAATGTTCATCATCATCATGGACATTGTAATGAAGATTTTAATTTATGATTTATTAATATACAATGTTTGTCTCTACTGGTTTAAAATATATCATAAAATGAAGCTAATTAATCACATTAAATTTTACACAATTATATTATTATATGATGTTGATGAATCATAGAAAAAAACCCACCAAAATTCAATTAATGTTAAATAAAATAAATTAAATTTAAATTAAATGATAAATAAATATTCAGGCAACCATAAGAATATCTATAAATATTAGATTTCAAAATTCAAACTTTAAAAAATTCCATACTTATTATGTGTTCCAAGTTCAAACGTATATTTAAATTCATTCCTAAGACAAAGGTGATTATAATTCCTGGTGGATTTCATTAAAATAAATGAGCAGTGTAATCACTATCCTCACGGATAACTTTACATTTTGCGTTAAAGCAGTGGGAAGCAAAATGTTAATACAGAACTAATTCTTATTGTTATTTCAACCATTAAATTCCACAAGAATTATTATTTTGTTAATATTTAGATTAATATACAACTTACATTTTCTGCAAGAATTCCACCAATTTTTCCAAATGATGGCATTTGAATCCCATACTTTTCCAATTCCATCTGCATGATGCTAATTTCCTCCTCTTCAAGAAATAATAAATTATTTAAATAATTTGTAGTGGAAACATAATGTTAAAACTATATAAATATATTATATACATCATATATATTAAATATTTTAATTTTCTACATAAAATAAATATATGAAAATAGATAATCAATAAATAGTATGTTTAATTGAATGATTTGGATTTTATAAACATGTGAAAAATGTACAACTTAAGCAGTCTCTCTCAACGTTTCTTTAAAACTGTAAGTATAATTAGTGGTTAAGGTGCTTTGCTTCTAATATCAGAGTCCTGGGTTCGATCTCCAAAAATGCCAGTGGTTTTCTACATAGGCTTAAATAAACAACTGTATGATTTGCTAAATAATTTGTGATTGTGGCTTGTGTGGTTAAAATGACTAGCACCATCTGTTGCGCTTTTTAAATAAAATAAATATAAAATTGTATTAAATAAAACATAGAATGCAATGGTTATTTCTTCAGCAATATTTCAAAAAGAGGTTCTTACAGCAAAGCTAACTGAAAGAGGCCCTCAACTTTATATATTTAAAATGTTCACTTGTTTTGGTTGTTATAAACATATCTAGAAAAGCAATTATTATTATTGTAAAAACATTCTCATCCAAGATATTAATATTATTTAGTATTGTTTAAGGTGCTTTGTTTCAAAGGCTAGGGGCCTGTCCTAGGTACAGCCCTATAAATGCCAAGGTTGTCTAAAAATATAGGCTTGAAAAAACTATATCATTTGCTATATTCAATACATGCATATTTAGATTTGTGGTAGTGGCTGTATAATTATAATAATGGACAAGTACCATCTGTTGTATTCTTTTTATCTGGTATGCATTGTACTAGATACTAAACAAATCAATGTACAATAAATGTCAGGATCAGACAGATAGATGTCAAAGATTGTGATATGAAGTGGAACAGAAAATCAAATAAACAATATTTTGGAATCAATTATATAAAATATTTTAATACCAGTGTAGCAGTGAAAACGTTTAACTTAGATTAATAGTAATATACAAGGACATCCTCACATTCAAGTACTTAAGCTCCTCCAATAATGGCATGTCATTTTCCTAAAAAACCCTAGATACTAGATGCACCAAAACCTGGAATTCCATTCCAAGTGAGATACAAAATATTATTGTTTGTGGTTTACTTAATATTATTATATATTAAATCAGAACTCCTCTCCTTAAGATACAATAATTGGTATGTTGCAAACATTTTAATTAATTATTCTACAGACTCACCCCACAAACCTTGCCAATTTTATTAAGTTTTATGTTAAGTACTAAACATCATGCCTAAATAAGCTTAATAAGAAAATTACAAGGGATCCTTAGTTGTGTTTAAGGACCCATTATGGTTACCTTATTAAACATTCAAGAACAGTTTTCCCTCTTTGTTGTTTGTTGTACATTAAGTTCTCTCTCATATTATTCTAATCAAATTACTGTATTTGATTTCGATTTTTGTTTGTATTTTTGGATACACCACTCAGAAATGAGCGAGTACAACTGATTCTAAATCGATTCCCAATAAATATTATATACTAGAAATTGCAAATTGCAAGTGAAGTGCTGCGAAGTACAACTGCATATTAATGTTCTTCGAACAAAATTATTTATGCGAGTCAAGTGAAAATAATGAATAATAAAAATATAACAAATAATATGAGACACGGCCCATTGTCTATATTAGAACACTTCTAATTGTGTAACAAAGTTGTGATTTTTCATTTTTGTCAAAAGTGTCTATAGTGGTGAATTATGGTTT